GTATAATGATCAAGTCATCAGCTTTCGACGAAAACTAATATTCAGGCTAACATTGCGGAACATGAATCTACGATTTGATCAAAATTTCACAAAAATCGGACAAGGATTAAAAAAGTTACAGGATGAACAATTTGGGCAAATTTTTTGGTGGCCGTTTTTTTTTGCCGGTGAGTGTAGTTTCGACACCAAAAAATCCTGAAGTTGAAAAATCTCGATTTTGAACACCCTATATCTCTGCATTTTTGATAGACCCCAAGTCAGGGAGAATCTTGGAATGCCATAAAATACAGGGTGTTCCATTTGAAATATCAATGTTGCTACTACTTTCTAGTAGAAGCGACAACACTGCATTGTGGAAAAAATTTCGAATGAAGAAAGCGTATTCTGAAATATGAGCATGCACATTTTCAGACTGATTCTCGATATAAAGATATAGGTGACATATCCTGTATGTGACACAAGTTCCATAAACGTCACTTCATAAAATACGGAGTTCTACAGCAGCGTATAATCGAGTTAAATATTCACCTAATTTTTGAACGAATATAAACTGAATGTTTAATTCCTAACTTCAAATTGCTTAGCTCTTGGATGATCGCAATGGCAACTGCATTCATAATCCAAAACGTCTAATGGATCAACTCTGAAAGCTCTCGAGCAAATGCGGAAATAGAAAGGGTTGATCAACTCCTCAACCCAAAAACAGTGCCGAATCGCATTACATGATTCTAAAACAAACACCGTTTCCCCATGATTCCCGTCTGAATTGAATCTAATTCAATCGTATATTGACGGGGTGTCGTTCGCTTCCTGATCGTTTCTGTGATTAAAAATTCAATTTTAACCGCATTCTATTGGACCCTGCTCTCGATAACAGCGCCATTCGAACAAAAATTAGCTATCGTCCCCTTCACTTCAACAGATATCCGTAGGGCCCTTATCTACATCGAAATTTCGGGTTTGAACAAAGGGCGTTCGAGCATGACAAGGACATATGCAGGGGCGTCACTATACGAAGAGCGATGTTTCCAAAAACACTGATTTTGATTTCATTCCACAATAGTGAAAACCTTGTTTGAGTAGAGGCACTAATCGACTTTTTTTCGCACACGACAATAGTTATCTCACCAATAGTCGAGTGGACTAAGTTTTTTTTATTTCGTAAATAGAATCATCACTCGAATACCTTTCAATTCAATATTTTTTAAGAATTTTTAGGTCGATTTTCGAACTGCTAGAAATTTACCGCCAGTAAACACTGACGCCACGATTTCGTAAGTAGGGGCAGACCGTAGCACAGTTGCCATGAGTTGAAATACGATTGGGAACCTCAGAAATATTAGTTATTCAATAATTCATAAATTCTCAATTGAGTCATGGGATTAGCAATAAAAATGCAATTGAAAAGGAACAATCTCAGATATATTTATGAACACAAAAAAATGGATATATACGACGAATATTGAATTTCATCTATTGAACACACACGATAAAAATTTGAAAACAAAATCTTTGAAGTAGAGAATTTGCATTCTCCTTCATAGAAAGATATGCATATAATATAATTCTGAATATTCAACAAAAAACAACTACTTTCCTGGCTATATTTGCCACGTCAAACATTGAATTATATCTGTTGAATATCCAAAAAAAGAGAGCATGTAAAATCAAAATCCTCTAAAATTGAGAATTAACATCATCTCTCAAATCGAATAGAATAATATTATATAAATATAACTTTCCGAGATGTTCAGTATTGAAATGAAAATTGAAATGTATAGGAGAAGTATACTTGTATGAACTTTGATCTTGAAGAGCTTGGAACTTCAAAAAAAAATCATTCGTATCAGTGATATGGGAATTACATCTCTCACAAGGTTATATGAATTCATTTCGGATATCATGTGTGTTCAATAGATGATATTCAATATTCGTCGTGGCATATAGCCAGGAAAGTAGTTGTTTTCTGTTGAATAAACCGAGAAAGAATTGATATTTTCATCACATGGAGAATGCGAATTCTCAATGTATTTCTTTATATACAGTATGATGCAAATGTATGGAATAAATTCATTTCAAAACAAGACGACCGCCGAAAAAATAAAAAAAATAGACTTCAGAACTTTATTAATTGATGTATTTTTTAAATAGACGACCCTTCGTTCTTCAATTCTCAGTAGCAGACCTCTGCAAGATTCAGTTAATCAAATGATAATCCATTTTAATTTCAATTTTTATATGCAAAATATTGACTGTTGAATAGACGATCAGTAGACCTTTCAAATGAGGTGTCACATGACCCCTGTTTGTATTTGAAAAAATCGTTCATTACGTCATTACTCCAACACCGGTGACGTAACATCTCTTATATGGATATCATGAGATGAGGCTTCAAAAATGAAACCTCACGTGTTTTTGGAATTTTTTAAAATGTCGCCCATTTCTGAAATAATGAATTTATTCCATACATTTGCATCATACTGTTATATTTATATCCATTTTTTTGTGTTCCTAAATATATCTGAGAATGTTCCTTTTCAATACTTTCACCCAATCAAGGGGTTCAAACTTGAACGATGGAAACTTCGCAGATTCGTGATAAGGTTTTTCTCAATTCAGAATTTCTTTCCACGTCCTGTATGATGAATATCAATAATTCATCATACATTCAAAGAATAATTATATTAATTCACACTAGGGTAAATTTGAATCGGTGAACCCCGCGCACGACTTGTGGGCGTGGTCTTGTCAGTTCTCAGCATTCAGCACAATGTTGACAAGTCTCCAACATTCACATGATATTTTGTTATGGAGAATAAGACATATTTGGACATGCTGGTTGCTCGAAAAGGTCAAGAAAGTCCTCTTATTATGTTTTATTCAACGACAGGACTCAAACATCTCTTTGATAACTTGATTATATTTGGTGACCTTGCTTCATGAGTGAAAATGGAAGGTTATCTGACCAATAACGAAACAGCGATGTCACCATTTATTCGACGTATCGCCAATTGGCGGTCATGACGTTGCGTTTGAAATGAGCTCTGAGATTCAACAATTATTTTGAACAACGCATAGACTTATTATTTACATAAAAAAAGCGTGAGAATTGCTGCAAGAATTATTTTTTTTATCGCCTGGAGAGCACGAAAGGGAATCCCTATAATGTTCAAAGAACATCGTGCGTTCCTAGGGAGGATAGGGATAGGAGGTAGGTATTGGAATTTTTTTTGAACTTCTGGAGATTATATGTTATTGGGAATACTTCTTCAAGCAATGAATTCCAGAGCCTAGCCGTTCTATGGATGGAGGAGTTTTGATAAAGTGCTGTTCGACATCTTTCGAGGTTGACAACGAAAGGATGTGCTGACTGGGCTTGTCTAGTTCGTCTGACTGGAGTAATTGAATGCCAATAATTCATTATCAGTCCATTCGCCCAATATCTGAAGCTGATTTTACGCGGAAGTATACCAAAAAGCACAACATCATTCTTAGATAAGATATATTTTTCTCGATAAAGAGAAATGGAAATAGAAATGTTACAATAATTATTCAATTTTTGACAATTTGTATAACATGTGCTGTTGGGGTAACCACCTACATCTTTTATTTGTGTCTGATGATGGCCGGTGGCCGAAACTTACAATCTCCTTCATTATTTTATTTTGTCTCAAATCCTCTGGTACCGAATTTCATCTAAACTACCATTATTTGGTGATGAAGAATAAATAGATCGAATATCTACGTTGGGTATCAATTTGTCGAGAAATCCTGAGGCAGTCCCTTTTTCTAAATAGCAAGGAATGCCTTATCATACACCTCTTTTGAAAGTGTTCCCAATTCATTTTTATTTAATCAAACCGCAGCTGGAATAATAATAATAATCGATATGGGATTTTCATACTTCAACAAAGCTCAATATAACATAGATTAGTTTTTCAATAAACCAGATGATATGAAAATACATTTTACGCCACTGGTCATCAAAATTTTGATAGACAGATAGTCGAGGGGCGCGAAGAAATAGGGTTCGGTTTACAGCACTTAATAAAAAATCTGAGAAACATGAAAATCATATATCCTGAAAGTTGTTTGTATAGTCTGAAAATATGAATCATCAGAATAAAAATCCTATAAACATGTCCGTATTCACGAATAATAGGGATGAATACATTAGAGTGGAGTGAGTTTTTATGGGTATTATACTGTATATGATTGGCCAATAAGGCAATAAATTGCGAATATTTTCTCCGTAGGAATGAAAATTTAATATCCACTCCTTCCACTCAAAACTCGTATTGTTATTCTTCTCTAGTGCTAGCATGTACGAACTGCTTGATATAATATCCAATTGAAGATCTAATCTCTATCGATTAATCGATACGAAAAGCAGAAGGTATGTATTCCCTGGTCTGGTGGGGAAGATCACAGCGTTGTTGAGAAGTAAGGTAATGATAATAACATTCTCACCATAGTCACAAATTAATTAATGGATTCGTAACCGCAGAAAATATTATTGGCCGAGCGATGGAGAGAATTAAATTCTCTCAATTAGTGTTTTTTATATCTGGAAAAAAGGTGTCAAAGCCAATGTCGAGATCCTACTTTCACCGCACGAACCTAGTGATGACGCACCAGTTCCACAATTTTTTCGACTAATTATGATTGAACCAACAATAGTAGGTATTGGCCTAGTATATTATTCGCAGTTATGCTAATCAGAGAAAGTTTCAATTTAGAATCCGAACGATTAGCATAATATCTTGGATAAGGTGGCCGGAAGAAAACTGGCTCCATCATTTTCGTCTTCGCAGATGGCAGTCATCCCGATAAACAATACTCTTTCGGCCCCTTTCCTAATGTACAATAGCCGCATAAATATGAACAATTGCAAGTAACAGTTTCTATTGTTCTCTGCAAATTATTTCGAATGCTTATGCATATGGCACGGTATCAATGAGACAAATGAGCTTTCGAATCATTTTTTATTCATGAGATGTTAATCTTCCAGATTGTGAATTTAAGATTCATAAATAATCCACTGAAAATGTTATTAGAAATCCTCCAATGTATAGTACAAATAAATAAATAAGACCTAATACTGTGAAGTAAGAAAACAGATGTAACAAGAGATCTGAAGGACATAAATATAATATTTCAAGAGATATACATGTTCGTCGGAGTAGTTACTCCTACCATTCATTCATCCTTCATTTTCGTGATCTGAGTATTTCAATACCTTTATTTACACATGTGAATTACACCCTAACTATGAGACTAGGATTCGTAGGAGATGTTCCCGAAACTTGAAATTCTGGAGCGAAGTGGATGAATTTACTCCGTATCAGATCAAACTGACTCACTCGGTTCGATATTTTTTCACAACAATCATACTCTCGAGTACATAAAAATGAATAACTAAATAATAAAAAATAACTTACTTATAAATAACGTTAGGTCATGCCAGCAACGGCAGGAATGGTGCCTTTGCTGGCACGAATGATCGACAATGAGATGATGAGTTAATAGTTAAATAATGAGATGGCGCTGTGAAGAGAGCTGTGGCACATCTGCCAATGCCAATCCGGTTCGAAACCGAATTCGAAATCATATTCTGATAGTTCCTCATTATTCTATAATAGTATTTAACTTGAACTGAAAATTCAAGAATTCTTGTCTTGATCCATCCCTATAGGTGGAAATCTTCATGAACATGAGCGTGACGATATCAAAATCTTAAGTTAGACGACAATAACCAGCTTCGCAACTATCAGAATATTGAATGGATTGGGCATTGGCAAATACGAAAGCGAGTTCTACAGAGGACTAGGACTGGATCAAGGGAAATGGTAGGACACAAAGAAGAAAACGTCGCGTGGCGACTACGATAGATCACTCGCGTTTCAATCACTCGCTAAACCTGAACATCTTTGGAACCTTTGGAATGCACCTACCAAGAGTATATAGTTTCCACTGTCAATTTGCCACTTTGACGAATTCGGCGTTATCGTATCCTCGAGCACTGACGAAAGACTGAGAGATTCCTTTTCTGTCTATAGCACGCACTCTCACGAACAAGAAAGCTGCTACCAAACTGGCCACGATCAAAACTAGAAGCAGCATTACCAGCCCTGCTACGAAGCTAGGAACGGACATACAGATGGTCTCGGGATCTTGAGAGGACGCTGATTGTATAACAACTGTCTCGTTGCTTTGGGCCGAGTTCAATGCGAAGTTAACATCTCCTGGAGCAACCACTTGAATGGTTCGACTAGTATTCACATCAGTCATTTCTTGAGCTTCACGTTTGTACACGTGACTTACGACTACTGACAACACCTCGTCAGTGTTTCTCCTCCTTCTGACACCTTGCAATTCTGCTGGGAGATTCTCAACCGACCTGGGTCTTCCTCCCAGGGTAGCCAGATTGCCTTCAAACTCGTCGGCGATGCTACTCTTCCTCTTAACAGTGTTATAGATCCCGTGATGTCCTGGTGGTGGTGGAGGAGGTAAATGGATATCGTTACCAGTTTGTGCTGAAGCTTGTGGAGCTGGCGATGAAACGCTAGGTGGGTTAGAGGTGGAAGAGGAAGACTGGGCTTGTGGAGGTGGTACTACGTCAGCGTTCTGTTCTGAGTAAGCTCCAGTGGGTCCGGAAGGATGTCTGGGATCTGGGAATGCGGGAGGATGGCCGTATTCGCTGGAAGGTGGTGGTCCGTATTCTGCATTCAGATTTCCATGGCCTCCGAAGTCTCCACTGCCTAGAGCGTTTCCTAGGGCAGGAACTCCGTACTCGCTAGTCAAACCTAGCCCGTGACCGCCACACTTGGGTTCAGGGCAATTATATCTGCATACCTGGATGACACACTGGAAGTGGACGTTCATTGAATCGGGGAATTTGAATGCTTGGAAATAGGCAAACGACACTACCGAAGCAGAAGGCCCGAAATTCTTGATCTTCTGGAATTTGCTCATAATTTTCGGTCTGACCACGCATCCATATTGATCCACGAGTTGGATTGGCGCCCTTTTTCCGTCGTGAGCTACACAATTCCTCACCAACATATCGAACTTATTCTCGTCATCCTTGATTGCCAGTACCATGGTCATGGTTTGTCCGATCTTGACAATCCCAGACACTTCGGAAGCCCAAGGTCCTTTGCCAACTTGAATCTGCATCCAGCATTGCAAGTTGTCTCCGAGAAAATTGGCTGTAACGGCGTGTAACATGTCGACCTGGAACGGCCTGAAAGTGACGGCCTTTTCGTAGAAGTCGTACCAGGTGCACCTCAGCTTCCTGGCTTGATCCCACACCTCTTGCACATATGGATCGTACTGGATGATGATTGTGTTCTCTACGTAGCTTCCGCTTGGGGTCGGTCCTCCGTAGCTAGCAGCATTGTGATTAGCCGACGAGGACATACCACAGCTGTTCAGGAATATTTCGAATGTTGCACTCAGATGCCCGGTGCCGGGCTTCAAATGAACACAGTGGGAGTCGCTGTAGAACCCTTTCGAGAAAATCATTCCATAGAACGGTCGATCGAATTCGATATTGACGCGCATGTGGGTTTTTTCGCACTGCACTTGCAGATGTTTTATTTGGGGCATGTCAGGGGTGGCGAGGGGCCAAGGGTCATCTGACGAGCCTCCCCCTCCTCCACCGCCTCCTCCTCCTTGGAGTAGCCCAGCAGGAACGTATCCAGGGCCGGACAGAGGAGGTCCATAGACGGCCCTGTGTTCGAGCGGCAGGGATGCCGAGTCTGATAATGGGGCATCGCAATGGATTTCCTGCAAATAATAAATATTCATCAAGTTGAGTGTAGAATGTAAAAACTTCACAAACGATAAGATTTCCACAAAATTCTCAAAAACACCTTATGTTTCGCTAACACAGTAGCTTCGTCAGGTGATATACTGGTACGATGAACTAAACTAACATTGGCTTGCTTATATATCCTCTTTTTCCAACCAAATACAAGTTTATTCTACAATCAACAAATAACACGTTGAGGTTTATCAAGAATAATAAAAACAAAACTTCTAAATTCGAAAAATCAGGGGTATACAAACTCAACGGTGGATCTTGTCCTAAAGTATATATCGGTCAGACAGGTCGTACGTTCAATAATTTTCTGGAAAAGAAAACAAATTCAACATACGCCAATCATATATCAGAAGAAAACCATAGTTTTGATGATAACTTCGAAATTCTACACGTAGAAAATAAAGGAATGAAACTCAATCATTTTGAATCATTAGAAATCAACAAACTCAAAAATTCTGATATTTTACATAACGATCAATTAGACCTCAATAGTTCACCACTGTTGAATTTGTGTTCTTAGTAAGTAATAATATGTATTTGATATCAACCCTTTCAAGTAAATCCAGTACACCGTATTTGAATGTAGATATTGTGCCTAATTTTCGAAAATGGAGGTTTATCGAAACTGTCCACAGGTAACTAATCCTTCAGGTTGGGAAAGTAGGATATACAGGGTGATGCGAAATTCGACCGACAACGCCTGACAGGTGATAGCCCTCCTGATTTCATAATCACTGAGATAGGTATTACATATACGGTCTTCGAGTGTTCACTTCTCGAGATACAGGGCGTAAAGTTAAGAAATAAAAATAGTTGTTCGCAATATCTCAAGAATAATTGAATATAATGCATTCAAATTCGGTATATGGTTCTTTGAATGGGTCATTTTTTGACCAGAAAGTCATTCCGGACATTTTATCCAGTGGTGCCCTACGGGGGTTGTGGTAACTTTTCCTCTCATATTTTCTGCACTATACTGATTGAATTTCGATTATTTCCAATTCCTCGAATTCATTGTTCAATTTTGTTCACCTCCAACTGAGCTGAAATGAACAGTTTTCGAGATATTCGATCCAGAATAGAAGATTGCATAGTAATATTTCATCATTTTCAGTAGTAGAAAATTGCAAAAACATTTTTCTTGAGTAGATTTTAGATACCTAATAATCAGATCCCATTCTGTAGCTGAGCAGAAATGGTTATTGCACGCATGAAAAGAAAACAAACATTTTTGTAATTTGCTACTACTGAGGAAGATGAAAAATTACTATGCAAACTTCTATTTTGGGTCAAATATCTCGATAACTGTTCATTTAAGTTCAGTTGAAGGTGATGCATGTTCTCAACATAATTAAACAATCAATTCGAGGAATTGGAAATAATCGAAATTTCATCAGTGGCGTAGAAAATATAAGAGGAAAAGTTTTCACAACCCCCTGTAGCGCACATCTGGACAAAATTCTCGGAATGACTTCCTTGTCAAAAAATGAACCATTGAAAGATGAAACCATATACCGAATTTGAATGCATTATATCCAATGTTCCTTGAGATATTGCGGAAAAACCATTTTTATTCCTTAACTTCAACGCCCTGTATCTCGAGAACTGAACACTTGGAGAGCGTATGTCCCTATCTCAGTGGTTATGGCTATCACCTGTCGAGCGTTGTCGGTCGAATTTCGCAACACCCTGTATAAGCAAGCCAATGTTAGTTTAGTTCATCGTACCATTATATCTCCTGACGAAGCTACTGTGTTAGCGAAACCAGTCAATTCGAAATTCTGGTGTAGAAATTGACCCTGTAGGAATGTGTAAGTGGAAGAGACAAGAGGGTACCAGCAAGCTGGTATGCGGTGGCAGTTATCAGGAATGTTAAAGTACTGAAGTGAAAGTGCTTACCCCGAACACGAGAAGAGCTGCCAAAACTCCTAATACACTGTGTTTAGGCGACCTTGTCATTGTGTACGTCGTGCCAGTGCCAGTGTTCAGCCGTTAGAGAGTTTCTGCAATGAAAATAATAATAACACCTTGACATTGAGCGGAAAGCCAGATGTGGTGAGCTATACAGCACACCTCTCTGCACCTGACAAACTCTGACCTACTAACACACTCCGTAAGCACAGTTCAGCGTCCTACGTCGTAAACGCATCATCGATTTGTCTATCTAAAGTCGCTGGTGCCATCACAACTTTTTCATTCTCCCAACATTGATTTATAGTTGTATGGGGAAAAATCGATGTCAACTTGGAGGAGAGAACGGACGCGACGAATAAGAGAAATTATTTGTGTGAAAACCATAAAATTCTTGCGAGAATGATTGACACATTACAAGCATTGCGACCTACAAACAATTCGCAAATCTATCACCGTATGACAACGAATACTTTTCTTTTAAAGTACTTATGCATTTGCATGATCAATGAAAGTACTGATCTAAACCTGATATTAGTGATATATTCGAAAGACAGTCTTGAATTATTGAATCTGATGAATCGTGGTACTGAAAGGTAAGTGAGCACGTACTGAAAAAAATCAAAGTTAAAAAAAAAGGATCAAACTATTCAAATGAAGGAATTTTGTATTTCTTGTAAAAGTTTCATTGTCAAATCGCAGAACGTCTTCTGCTAATAAGCCATCATTATAGTATGTTACGTGCAAGTAACTATAATGTTCTATATAAAATGTTGATGAAAGTCAAGTATTTGAAAAAAGGTTGAACATTTAATCGACATCATCATAGCACAGAAGGTAGTAAGAACAGACATTCATTCAACAAATAAGTACCCCCAATGGGTTATTATAACATTTTCAAAAATACATATTGAAACATTTTTGTTTAGGTCCGAAGGAGAGCACGAGAAACCTTAACCTTATTAGGTGTGACAGATACTCAACTTCAACAATATTGTTGTCTGAGACCAAGCAATGTCCATGAATCAGAATGAAATCAATCGCTCTGCGATTTGATAATGAAACTGTTAAACGAAAAACATAATTTCTTCATTCATTGATTCAGTTCCTACAACTACAAATCTCATCAAAAGTATTGCCCGAAAGTTGTGATAACTTCACCAACCCTGTCGAACTCATATCCCCACACCTTATGTAATATAAAGGGGTCATTCAATTGTCGCTTGTTTTTGACATTTGATCCGCATATGATCCATCGAAACAATGGCATAATAAGAAAAGGTAGTTTTCATGAAAATAATAATTCGCAGTTACAAGTGTTTAATAGTTATGTTTATTTGATAGACATTTCGAACAGCCGTTTCGTCTGTTAAATAATGTTGTGAATATCTAGTTTGAAAAACATTTGCGAAACTGCCTTGTCCATCGAGACACATTGAATTGAAAAAGGAATAGAGAAGTTGTGCTAGTGCTAATATCAACTACAAAAATTCCTCAACAATTGGTAGATATGTTGAACATTGAGAGATAGTTTCTGGCTCATCAAGGCTGTACAAACTGTACAATTTCTCATTAGGTGCATGTATAATATTGAAGAATATCAGCAGAATACTCTCTAGTTCTGAAAATGTATGAATTATGAATAAAGATGTCCATTATTTAGTCTTCCAATGGGACGTAGTATGAAAGAGTTTTAACTCCCTTGGGGCGCAATTTTGTGTGAAGTGATTTATGTTGAACAAGCATAAAATCGTTTGAGGAATTCAGGTTTCCGTTTGGCAGAAAAATGTGAAATTGGAGAATTTCCATGTCTCTGTGAGAATGACCCTAATCGATGAAATGTTGGAGTATGGATATCTAAATAAATATTTGATCTCAACGTGCTGACACGAAATTTCACTGATGTTTGGACAAAAGCACCGCCAAAATTATAAATGTGAACCACCTGTGCATATCTTCAACATTTATCTCGGAATGGTAATGGACACAGAGAGAACCAGAAAGTGCATGAAAATTCCGAAGCATCGCATCGATGAAAAAAACTGGATCCATAATAGCCGATACCTCCCTCCATGGAAACAGATTGCGATGTATAGCAAAAACGCCTTTCTCGGATTTCTAAAAGTTCGATCGATAAAAACCACTTTCTCGACGATCGTTATTATCGAATAGGAAACAAGTCGGATTAGTCCTACTTTATAGAAGGCCGGCCTTGCGTTGTTATCAACCGCTCTAATAAATAATGAGAGAAATGCAGAGTTGAGGCACTGGAGCACAGTCTTATCTATTTTCCATCGACGACCGACATTCATCTCTACTGACGGTTAGAAAGTGGAACAAGTGCTCTCGGACTCCCCATATATACAGGGCGACCCATCGAGAAATCATCCACAAAGTGTTCGTAGGATAACTACTTCGAGGCCCTCCAGACTGAACACAATTCACCAACAGCCCTTCCTACAAAACACTTTCAGTCGAAGATATTCCTTCTTCAAACTGAAGATGATGATTTTATAATATACTACCCTCGATACTATAGCTGACCCGGGAAACGTTTTTTTGCTATATACATCATTACAAGAAAAAAATTATCGAGTTAAATATTCATCAACACACTTTTATAATGATTATATTTTCTACTTATTTCAGTTCAGCAATATCTATCTCTACACTTTTCAAAACTACTATTTATTTTCTACTTCAAAGCGTGTTTCATCAGTTATTCAACCTATTATTAAATTTCCAAATTTAGACGAAGTAATCATAATCTTTGACCCCGAAAACCCCCAGATACCAATCTTGAATAGAATCGGATCATAATTGAAAAATTCGTCCGCCATATTTTGATTCGCCATCTTGAATTCCCGAATTCTGACAAAATAATCATAATATCTGACCCTAAAAACCCCAGATACCAATTTTGAATAGAATCGTATCTTAATTACAAAACTGATTCGCCATATTGCATCCGCCATCTTGAATCTTCTAATTTTGACGAAACAATCATAATCTCCGACTCCGAAAACCCCCAGAAGACAGTTTTGAATAGAATTGGATCATAATTGAAAAACTCGTTCGCCATATTGGATCGTCAATCTTGAATTACCTCATTTTGACGACTTATTAATAATCTCCGATCCGGAGAACCCTCAGATACCAATTTTGCATAGAATCGGATGGTAATTACAAAACTCGTTTGCCATATTGAACCCGCCATTTTGAATTTTCTAATTTTGAAGAAGGAATCGAAATGTCGGACCCCGAAAACCTAGGGACCAATGAATAAAATCGGATCATAATTACGAAACTCGTCCGCCATATTGGATCCGCCATCTCGAATTTCCAATTCAAAAAATAGCTTACGACCGATTTTCAGACCTAATATGCACAAATATTTTTATTAGAATCGGTCAAGCCGTTTCGGAGGAGTTTGGCAACAAACACCGAGAATTTTATATAGAACATCATACTTTTTTCATAGTATAAGAGTTATCCTTCACATCGTGATGAAGTCATCGATCGCATGAAGAGGTTGCTGGACCCATGAAGGTATCTATAACACTCTTTTAACAGACACTCAGGAAGATATTATAGCTGCAGACTACAACCAGAAGAAGTTTTTTCCATTATCTCATCATGAAACCAATCATAATTCATCACCATCATAATTCCACCAGGTCACAATCACAATCATGAATATGTTGTATGAATATACTGAATAGCTCGAACTTGGAAAACTTGTGATGATAGTAAAGATACTTCGAACGAGTTTTTATGCAAAATGCTGCAGCTGTAGGGGTTCATAATTGTATGAGATAATAGGTGAGAACACTCTGCACGAAGTTTCCAAGGAAAGATAATGCAACATCTCATGTAATGATAAAATGTTATGCTCGTAATATTTTGTCCAACGAACTTGATACAACCAGTGTTCATTATATTTAGCATAGCAAATTCAAATTTCACTCTTTATCGCTTTGCTCTTTCTTCTTTAATTCTCAATTATTGCTTGTACGATATTTCTTAGGATCTGACAAACCTTTAACCAAGTAAGTGTATTACGAAAGTATAATTTACATTGTAGTTACACCAAATGGTAACTGATAATAATGCAGTGCCAAAAAATAACTCGCTATTGTAGATGACTTTTAACTATCAATAATTCTTGTTACATCATGTATTGATGATGCGCCTTCTGAATTTTGACTAACCTTGAGTTAGAAACCGTGCTCGGTGTATAACCAATATCTTCTGTAGTCTATGGTATTACCTACACTATCACGATTCAGTAACAACGAGAACGTCAAAGTCTAAGTCGACCTCCGTATAGATAGTAGGTTCCAATCCTATTGTTTCTCAATCCAAGATATTTTCTCTTTTTCGTTCTATTGTCTTTTGGGTAGAGAGTTGAACTGATCAACAAAGCCTGACAAATGCACCGATGACAATGCGAAATTGTTCATCAGATTACATGCCGTTGAAAGTGAAATCACCGGTAGTTACCAAACTTGTACGGAGAAGAGCAATAATTCTACTATTCAGGTAACATTATAGCTGACTTGCGTTCATCTATCAGCTGAGTTTCTGGATCGACTCAAATATGAGTTTGTTTCCAAGGACGATGGTGTTGATCCTAAATAAACACGTATTCTAGTTTTCTTTATGTTCTGGTTCCCACGAAAGGGATATCCTGTAATCTCGCGGGGACTGCCAAGGGAGGAACAATTGTTGATATTTCAGAAGAGCATCGTCCATGAAAATATCTATAAAATAGAGCCAGATCGCCAACTTTTCTACGAGACGAATTGCCCTTTTTTGGACAGAATCCAACAGTTTCAGGGTATGTTTGGGTGCTGTACTCCAACTATGGGAACAGTATTCCAGGACAGATCGGATCTGTGCCTTATAACAAAAAACCAAGTTTTTGGGATGCACTTTTAGCAATTGATCTCACGTGATTTTCCCAAGAAAGGTTATTGCTGATAGTAATACCAAGCATCGAAATCGATGTCTTCAAAGGTACGGTTACTCCTGACAAGCTTATGTTGGGCACAGTGAGATCGGCTTTTCTAGAGGAAAGGCATGCTTGTGTTTTGTTTGCATTAAAATCTAATAAGTTATTGGATCCTCATTCGAGAATTGTTGCCAAGTCCATATGTTAACTAATGTTCTAATTTTTCTCTAAGCTTGTTGAGTGCCCATACTAAGTACTATAGTTGTTATAACCATTCATTTTATGGATAAATGAGCAAAACACGATATGTGGTGGAATTAGAATTATTAGTAGTTAGATTTCGCGTTCTGAAAGGAATGTGCATGCAGCGTAACAAAACCAAAGAATTTTCAAATAATATTTTCTCTATAAGGAGGTCAATTAATTCCACCATCTCGGGCACATGATTAGACCACATGAATTAGTCCATTCGACTAGAATTTTGATCTCATTCACCACAACTATTCCAATTTCCAATTTATAAGTCTATTATATACCGAGTGAATACGAAATTTTTGTTTCAATGAATTGCAAATCATGTGACTTTTACTTCCGGTTTGAAACATAATCTCGACATGATTTCTTTCCATTGATATTAAAGGTAATTATTTGTGATGCAAATTACTTTATAGGAAGCCCTGTTTTGTGCAACAAATTTGTATTCGACTCATTTGATTTCTTGAATTTTCATCCTTCGTCTAAACTTGATCATTTTCAAGATATATTATGAATAAATGAATGTTCAGCTGTTTTTAAGTAGTCAAAATAATACATTTTGAACCATGCCATTTTCTTGGAAACTCAGTTGTTTTTAAGTAGTCAAAATAATACATTTTGAACCATGCCATTTTCTTGGAAACTACGACAAATAATTGCTAATAGTTTTCAAAACTCTGTATAAAATAATTTGAAATCTCCTTTTTTATATTTTTGGATTTTTTGTGCTAGCTGTATTGTTTCTGAATTGTCGATATAGTTCATATTGACCAATTGATCTGTCTTCTATTATAGAGATCTAATTCTAATTTATATTTCCATCATTTTTAAAAAATAAGGATTGAAATCACAATAAATATTCAGATTTGTAGATACCGCCGTCTCGAGAAATATAGATGAAAATACAGTATCTATTTGAAAAATTTCGAAACTCAAAAAAATGTTAATCTCTCCCATTCGTCTTCTCAAGGCAGGTTCATAAACTTGAAAATATGGAAATATTTAAAGTACCTGGATTTTTCAAAAAACACAAGAATTGTACAAATTAAGAGCAGCTTCCTGGAATCCTGATTTCCACAGATTATTTCTCAGGATCTCATGAATGATGAGAGATTATACTGATCGATATTCGAGAAATTGCAACAATGGATGAAATGGGATGTTTTCGAAACTCCTCTGACCAATAATTTACCAAAACTATAGGAAAATAGGCCATTGTGAAGTCTTTCAGCCCTTGGTATATTCCAATATATGTATAGTTTGTTTCGAGAACAAATTCCTTTCATTTCGCCTTCCCATTACTCATTTTATTCATCAACGAAATTCTGGTAACACCCTGTATACGTTGAGGTTTATTCAAAATCAACTGCAATATTATTAAAAAGTGCATATAAAATTTAGATATATTAATAGATATGCAACCAACGTTGAAACAAGTTTATCCAGAAAATTGTGAATTATGAGTTTTCCATTTGTTTTCCAAAAACTGTATATTTGAAGAATAACGTAACTACCAAGATTTTTTTAAATGCGTAGAAAACAATTATCCTTTTGAGCACTTCAGTACCTATATTTTGGAATTCCACACAATAAAATGCGGAATCAGATGAAAGGCTCAAGGCTATGAAGAGTAAGGTGTGTATCTTGTATCTTCATTAGCACTTGCAAGTACTTACTTATCGTATTCACATGCCGTACGAGCCGCGAATGCGCAAAGAAAGCTCACTGACACACTGCCTTGCTTTCATTTCTACTGTGTGCTCAATATTTTATATTATACACAGAGATCATAATAGCCAGTAGCCATATCTTCAATTATTTTTCCGCTACCGCGATACACATGCATTCAAAAGAAACAACCAAAAATTGTCACAGCAACGTATTCCCACTATGATACGAATATAGCTAAAAGCAATCCTCACTAGATGGATATCTGAAGTTTCTTCGTAATAAGTACGCTCTTTCCAAGAAGACATACTGTATATATTTAATAATCGAAAACCATCCATCTTTCAATGGGATGATGACGATAGGACAAGTGTCATGAATCACACAGTAGAATTCCCAATAATAGTCGTTTTGGAAGGGATATGTTTCGGAATTTTAAAACTCCATAATCAAATAAAGACGCTGATGATGGAGTTTCAAAGGTCAGAACAATGTCCCTTTCAATTTGATGTTATTAAAGTATACTTATTATAGTGGATCTTGGCGACCTTGAAGTGGTTCAAAATTCACTATAAGCTGTAGGTCCCGCTTTTCCTAACCCTGCAGTCCCTGCACAAGTTTCGACTTTGGGGAAGATGGTTTGCGATAATCAAATTCAACAAATTCGACTGTGTGATTTCAGGCCCCCTTCGTATCTATTTATATTTCCTATAGTTGGACTTGTATTTGACGTGTCACTTAGTTATTTTTTGAGTCAAAAGAGCGGATCATAAATATAAGTATAGTTTTGATTCGTGTGACAATTCTTGTTTGCTCCCGATGACCTTGAGAATACCCAAGCATCGCACTATCATCATTCACCTTCTGCGTATTTCACTATGCATTCACTTCCGTTCTCTTTCATTTCAATCCTCCAAGTTTTTGACACTGTCACTGTGCTTCCGGTAGTTGATTATTCCAATAGTATCCCATAACTTACTTTGAAATTAATCCAAAAAGAGCGAAATACACTAAATCACTAGAGGTGTTATATTCCTTGATTGCACTTATTTCGGCACTGCACTGACACAACGTGGGGTAGTAATCCGAAATACGATGCGGCACCAACAAATTTTTTTAAATACAAAACACAACTACGTGTGGCTGAACGAAAAGTAATACACTTAAAATGTTCCGTTGGTTTTATACGGACGTGAAAGTTTAGCCCCTCTCTCCAACACGAGCCGCCAGTGGAACAGTCTTTAAAGCTTTCTGAAGAGTCCGGATCCAAAGTCACCTATTGTAAGCCGTATCCGGAATTTTGACGCATTTGATTCACTTTCTTTTGGTTGACGCATTGTTATTCAGCTGTTGCACAATAGGCTCGATACATATATACAAGTTGCGACTTGGTTTACCCCTTGGGACTTTCCATTATTGGGTTTTACGTGCATATAATCAATCATTTGGTATCCAATGATCTCTGGACATTTCGTAATAAGTGATATCATCAAGGTGTATTACTCAACGTTGTATCATTTTGGTAATACATGTAAACAATGAATATTGTGAGTCCATCTTTCTGATGTCCTGGTAACGATTTAGAAAAAAATGGTAGTAGGCGATGTTTTAGAAATTGAACAATTCGCATTGCAAATGGGTGTAATATAGTTTCAGCCCTTTGAAAATATGGATTTTCTTTATTCACCCCATAGGTCAATCCATTCAGAAATCGTCAGAAATCTGAAATAATATCTCTTCATATTCAGAGTCTCCAATTTCGTTAGCCGGGCCATAGGGCTATTCTAAAGAGATTGCGAATAGATCAATCCTGTGCAGAATCGATCAATTTTTTCAGAATATACCGCAGATAGGTAGGCCACGTAGGGTGAAATCATCCAATGAGTGATTATGCGAACAGATCAAAGGACTATTTCATGAGTAAAAAAAAATGTATCAATCCGTTCCAAAGATATATAACAGATATATTTCGAATGTATCAGTACTCGTAAATGATTTCTGGTCCATTTTTTGATATATGAGAATGAAACGAATGTCAACAGAAATCTCCATAAAAAAAATTAAAAAACATTCATCTAGATTTCTTGGTTTGTTTCATTAAAATCTGTTCAGGTATCATTTTCTCAATTTTTAAATCATGGAAATCGTTCATTATTCCAGATTTTTCCTATCAGAGAGCCTAAAAGAAAATTTCACTAGCTTGTCAGTGGCAATTTGTATTGAAAAAGGTTTGGAGAAGAGAAATACAGGTATAGAAAAAATATCAAATTGTCACTTAGCTTTGGACGTTTCGGGAACGAATCTGCTCCCGTTTCTTTTTTCTATATACATATACATTCATTTCTCTTCTCCAAACCTTTAATACAAATTGTCACTGACAAGCTAGTGAATTTTTCTCATAGGCTCTCTGATAGGAAAATTCTTTAAACGCAGTGACGCTTTGGGGCAAATCATCTGACTTGTCCTTACTAAACGTACCTATATTGAAATAATATTCATATTTTTCATTTTATAGAAACGAATAGAGATGATCCTTAAAAATCTGGAATGATGAATGTACTACCACCTCGATGAACCTACATACAGTATTCATGAAAATCATCCATGTTTCAAAATGGTCTCAGTAATTTCATGAGGAAACAAAAGGAACAGAAAGTCAGTCGACCACACTTCATAACACGCAAAACATCAACAACATGTAACCGGTTTCGGTACTGCGGCCATCATCAGACAATGCATGAGTATACCTGTACAAATTACGTGAAAATAATAAATGCTGAGACAGAAAGGTAAGAACATAACTACGAAAATGTACAAGAGGTCAAAAAATAATAAAATAATTCACAATCATGGCAATTTCAATTTTACTTTTATCCCCTAGAAGTTTCTCAACCGAAAAACGAACTGATGGAGAAAATCGCGCCATAAACCATCATTAATAGAAAACATGAAATATGAACTTGGACCCACACATATGTAATATATTATTTGGCACTCACAATGATGCTCAAACTCCATTTAGCATGGTGAAATTCTTCACAAAACAGATAGGTAGGTATGCCATATCAGTATACCCGTATTTCATTCAATAAATGTGTGGTAAAGATTGTATAACAATTTCCCAGTAGCGTATAAATCATTGTCTATTGAATGGAAAAACAATAATGTAATCATTACCTCTGATGTTTTCATAAAATAAATTATTGTTCTAGACGAAGTATATAGAGTGATTCAAGAAGTCCAAGTTCTTGAGTGACGTCACAAAAATGAAATCAACCTGCTCGGGTATTTCTTCGAAATTTATTTCATACAGGATGTTTCCAAAATTGGGGCGATAAATGGAGAAAAAATCAAAAAATGAGACTTGAGAATTGAAAAGAAATATTCTCAAATATATAATAAACATGAAAAACAAAAATTGATACCTATCAAGAAATACACTGAGAATTCGCATGAAAAATAGTAATTTTTTAGCGATATATTCAACAGAAAACAACTACTTTCCTGGCTACATATCACGACCAACATTGAATCACATCTACTGAACACACACAATAATAATTTGAAAATAAAATCTTCTGAAATTGAGAATGTATCTGAAAGAAAATGCAAATTCTCAATTTCAGACGATTTTATTTTCAAATTCTTATTGTGTGTGTTCAATAGATGTGATTCAATGTTATTAATATTTTTTATCAGATAGAGAATGCGAATTCTCAATGTATTTCTTTATATGTACCAATTTTTCACACCCAATGAAGGAGTTCAAACTTGAAAGATGGAAATTTGTTATTCATCAGACCTAATCACAGATGCCTGATTCGGTTTTCTCAATTCAGAAGTTCTTTCCACTCCCTGTATATGATGAATATCAATGTATCATACATCTAAATGAGAGAAAACATTTTGTGAAAAGGGAATATCGAAATTTAGCCTGAAACTTCTAATGGTACATTATTGGTCACATAGGTTAATAACCAGACCCAAGCGTTTGCATTCGGCGAGGTTAGGAGCACCTGAAGTTGTTGAAAAATTATCAAACTATGTGGTATTGTGTCTGATATCACACCCCATTTTATTTATAGCTCTAATTTCGGTCAAGCCCTGTATGTATCCACTATTTCATGGATCACTCTCCAGATGGACTATAGTATTTCAGCTATAACATCGATCATGCTCGCAATGTCTGCAACTTATTGATTCATTTCATCCATCCTGTTAAGAGGGAGAAAGTGAATTAAATATGTCATTAACCAACGTTTCATTGCCAGAAATAAAAAGCTGTTAATTGAATCCAGTTATATTGAGGCTGCACATAACTGTCGAAATTTACAAAATACCAGGAGTTCGATGTACTTTGATTCATTATAAATGAAATGAAATAGCTGAAGATAATTTTCATGAGAGGAAATGATAGATATTGGGTTCGAGATCTTGCTCAGTATATAATTCATCTAAAGTGCTCATAGAAACAAGTGGACCACTGAAATTTTCGACAATTTTCAGACTGTCATAACTTTTTGAAAAATGAATGGATTTTCAATCGGAATGCAGTGTTTGAAGGTTTGACATTGTGTAAATGAGTGTTGATTACAATAAAAACGACTTTTTCGATTGATTTTCGATTACGCGATTGAAAACCTTGTAATAAATAGGTTTCTTGACTCCCTGTCAGCTCAGGAATATCTTAAAACCATCGTAGCATCGTTCATCGTTATTGTATGAATTGGTCAGAAAAATCCAGAAGGGCCTCCTTGTGCCCCCTTGCATTGCCTTATCTGAAAAATCACGAAATCAATTCGAGATACTGAGCAGAGCAATCGATCCAAATGAAGAATTTGTGTTTAGCATAGCATATGGTTATGGCAGCACCAAACTGAACAGACGATTTCACCAAATTCTGAACATTTCTAAAAAGAATTAATTCTTCAACTGTTAAAGTTGTCGACGATCTCAACGCAATATGAATCCATTTTCTAGGATGTGTTCTATCGTATAGAGTGGCAAAATACGTTGAATGTTACTTGCATAATTTTAAAATCGGAAATGATGCGATAAAAACCTAAAAATGAAAAATCATCGATTTTCAACTTCCTGTATGAGGAATATGGAAAATTACAAAACCGTTTCGAGATTTTGGCTTGAACGTTCGAGAAAAACGCTTAATAGAAAAATAAAAAAAATTCCCTGGAATACGGAAGCGTTTGAATTTTTTCATTCTTGTAATACTTTTTTCGAACACTTGGTGTATAATAACAGAAAAACTCCCGACGAGTTTGGAACGAGGAATCTTGAACAGCAAGATCGCATCTTCCAAACACTGCATTCCGATTGAAAATCCATTCATTTTCCAAAAAGTTATGGCAGTTTGAAAATTGTCAAAAATTTCAGTGGTCCACTTGTTTCTTTGAGCACTTTATATCTATGTAACTTCCATCAGATGTTGAAAAAAAGTG